AAGCTGGACCATTGGACGAGAATGAGCATTTAAGGACAGGTATGAAAACTGAGCTGCTGATTGGAGGATATCTCCACTTCCTGTTATTGCTCCAGATTAAAGGTGAAATGTAGCCTCAAGAGTCTGTGCAGAAGAGATTACCATGGCATCCTTCCCACAGATTAAACTCACCTTTACATGACAAATACCCCTCATTAAACCCGCTCTCTAAAAATGGAGAAATGTGGCGCGGATGTGTCAGCCATCAGAATCTGTTCTCCAGTTTTTAGAGCGTCCCCACTTCACCTCACTGCAGCTCACCTTCAGGTCCTTTCCAGCACATAAAAACAAACTCCAGTGTGACTGTGGAGCCGTTTAAAGCCTGCAGGAATCATCACTCATCTGCTGTTCAACCTGCACCCTTCATGCCTCCAACAGATCCAACCTGCAGCCCTCAGCGCTTCTGTGTGAGAGTGTGAATGAAACCTCACAGAGCTGGACCTGGTCTGGATTTATGCTGCTTCTGGGGCATTTGATCATGAAAACACTGCACACACACACACACACACACACCCAACAAATGGTTGCAGGCCTCTCTGCACCTTCTCTCCTCTGTTATTTATGTGTACTCTAGACCATCGCTCATGCAACAGCATGTCTGCTCTACAGTTTACAGAACTGTGCTGATTAAAAAAAGAAAAAGATTCAGATGATTTTATTTCAGGATTTCTGCTAAAATAATTGTCTGCACAGGGCTGCACACACACACACACACACACACACACACACACACGCGCGCGCGCGCACGCACGCACGCACCCTCTTGTCCCCTTAATGAGTGTATGTTCTGTCCTACAGGTACAAAGGAACAGCAGGTCCTGTTGGAGCAGAGGAACATACTGTTGTGTCAAGGACACAGGTGCTGCACAACTGTTCCACTTGAACAAGATCACACACACATGCACGCACACACGCATAAGCAAACACACACACACACACACACCTGCAGATCTTTTCCTTGCAGGTATTCACCCCGCACCCCCCCACCCATACATTTTCATCTGCCCCTCAGTTTACAGTTTCAGGAGCCCCTTTTTCCATATGTTGCTAACAGAGTTCCTTAGTGGTGTTTCAATGTGACACACTGTTTAGACATTACTGCCCCTGCTGGGCTGGCATGCTTGTGTGGATGCTCCATTCTGGTATAGTCAGAACTTTTCCTTTAAATTGAAGGAGAAAAAAATAGTTTTTAAATACTTGTTTGAATCACATTTGACTAATTTTGCCCTTCATGGTTTTTCTAGTTTTTATTGATAAAGTCTTAGACTTAGTAACTTTCATATTTTGGCACAGCTAGACGAGGTAGAGTCTGATCAACCATACAGTCGAAGGCAGAGATCTGTACTATAGAGTCTGCTCTCCTGAAACTGTCCATCCATCATAAACCGTAGAGTCTCTTCTTCCCTGTCATCCCTGCTGCTGTAAACTCAGCTCTCTGAGAGGATTCTGTGTCTGATAAAGTCTGTTGGGGTTTAACGTCTGCCAAAATAAAATAAAAAAAGGCTTCTGGCACCAACAAACAAAGCAAACAAACACTCTGCTCCATCTGTGCCTCCACCTCCTCCCTCCTGACTGAAAGAGACTCCACACTCCCCATCCTCTCCTCAGATACCCCTCTCTCTCTCACCCTTAGATACCCCTCTCTGATTGGCCAACAGCCCCCTGGATTAACTTCAGGGTTTTGTTTTTTCCTCGTGGATTTCTACCTTTAAATGAACTAATGACCATGCAGGTCTGCAGTCAAAATCAAGAGCACAAGAAGGCGTCTGAGTCTTAAAGCTAACTCCACTGACGAGTAGATGCCTCTCAGCTGCGGTTGTGGAGACTCGGCCGGAGGAAGGAAGAAGGAGAAGGCAGACGGATCCATCCTATGTTGGGCGTTTCAAACATGGAGAAGCATATTTCACATCTAAATCAGTTTTTTTTTGGTTGTTGCTTTTATTTATACCAGCTGCCTCCGGCTCAAACATTTTCACACCAAAGCTCCTGAAGAGAGAGAGAGTCAGTCAGTCCATTTGTTTTTATGATTTCCCTCCAGCTTTTTATCTCTATCCAATAAAATGCTTCACTTCCACCTCCAGTCTGAACCACTTCTTTCCTCATCTTCACTCCTCCTGCTCACTGTGTCTTTCCTCCTGAACACTAACTAAAATCATTATACATATATACGTGCACACACACACACACACACACACACACACACACACACACACAGCAACCTCCTGGGACCCTCCAACATGTGATTGGGATTCAGTCTGCAGCCCAGCAGCCTGTTAGCAAACACTTATTTATACAACCACAGATACACAAACAGACACACACTCATCATGCGTGACTGATGACACACATCTTAAGTTTCTGGGTCACATTAATTAACGATTGATGGGCCTCATTTAAAGGTATATTCCGTAATTTTCTCGGGAACATTACTTAATGACTAAATGAGGGTCTCTAAACGCTCATAGACCTTCTTTTTGTAGATCAGTCTTCTAATCAATACACATTGAAATCACCTGTCTGCCCTCACCTGGTTTCTAATCAGTGATTGACATCTGTAATTCATGTAATTAGGAGGAAAGGACTGAGGAGTCTGATTTTCCACGGGTCACTCCTCATTTACTACTCAGATTTCCTAACCACATATGTAACAGAAGTTCATCTAGATGCTGAATGATGAACCATTACAACTGCACCTGGATAGGGACTAAAACCAGTTTTTTTAACCAGTTATAAATGTGTTTATTTTAATTCTGAAAAATAGGCTTTTTGAATGAGTTTGTATGTGGTTTGTAGCCTCTGTAAACCACCCCTAGTGGACTCAGGGAACTGCAGTAATCAGAAATTCAGATGAATGGATGGATGGATGGATAGTCTCCAGTAACACAGCAGATTTTACAATCACTGATTGATTTGGTGTACAGACAAATATACAATCCAATGCCAAACTCAAAATTCTGATGCTGTCGGAAGAAATGTCGACTTTATTTCTTTCCATCCCTCTCAATTATACCAGGTCAACTCAACACTCACACATTTTTAAACAATCCAATTTCCTCTCCAATAACATAAATTGACAGTCTGAGAGCTGCTTCGGTCCACCTCAGAGTCCTGATTTAAGAGGACCATCACGCTGAGGAGGAGCTGATTTATTAAGAGCTAAAATTAGCTGCTCATCTCACGTTTCAGTGACATTACCCACATTCCTCTTTATTATGGTCAGAGATGACAACAAGAAAGAAATTAAAGGTAGAGAGGAGAGAGGTGAAAAAAAGAATGAGGAGAAAGGTTTGGAAAGAAGGCTAGATGTCTGCAACAAGGCTGAGAAATGAAGACACAGAGCCACGAGGGGGAGAGCGCCTCAGCCTCAAAGACAAATCAATGTCACCTCTATATCTGCTCACCCACCGGGACACACACACACACACACACACACACACACACACACACACACACACACACACACACACACACACACATATACAGGCGGTTGCAGACAAACAGCTGCACACATCACGTGCAGAGTGACTCACCTCCCACAGCTCCTCACTTCATTACACACAATCCACAGTTTATCAGACACTCCGTCAGTCTGTCAGTCCGTCCTCTCTGTATGTCATCCGCCTTCGTTTGATCAGGATTATGTAATAATGCTAATGAGGTGTTTGCAGGGGTCATGTCAACCTCAAACATACATCTAATTGTCATTGTCTGAATGACTGAAATATGCAGAGTTTTCCATTCCAGAGTCCTGTCTGTTTTTATTGTCCTGATGATCAGGACCACCCAGTCCTGGTTTTGATCCTTGTCCCTTCAGTACCAGGCTTGTTAAAATAATCAGGACAGATCTGATCTTTGACTTTATATTCCTGTGTAGATAGATTAACCCTGAGCTTACTATGGCAGGTACACACACACACGCACACACGCACACACTGATGGTCTACCTGGTGATCTATCATGTTTGCGGTTATGTAACTTCTTTATCTATCGTCTCTCCAGGTCTGCACATGAACACACAGCAAGTTGTCACAGAGAGAGGAGAAGCTCTCAGTCAGTTTCTGTCGCTCTCTCTCTCTCTCTCTCTCTCTCTCTCTCTCTCTCTCTCTCTCTCTCTCTCTCTCTCACACACACACACACACACACACACACACACACACACACACACACACACAGTAGAGGTAGCTCAGTGGAGGTCCTTACTCTGGCTGCTCAGCCGTCTGTCTCCTCCTGGATGGACCCCAGAGACACAGCAAGACTGACAGAATGACGTCAGTGTGTGTGTGTTTATAAGAAAAGTAAAGCATGGCGGTGGGGGGCTGGGGTGGGGTTCTCTGTTGTCTGCAGGGCTTTAAAATGTGACGGCTTTTTGTTTCAGTTGTAGTCAAGCATTTCAAGGCTGTACAAAAATACTAGCACTTTTAAGACCTCTCATTGACTCGGGGCATGCAGGATGGAGCCCTTCTCTCCTCAGTCCAGTCTTAGAGGAGATCAGGTGCTGGGGTACCTTCTGTCACACAGCAGCATATCTAAGGTGACCCAGTTAACCTTTTTTTACTGTGTTTCTGAGGTTCACAGAGAGTCCACGTTCCTGACTTCCAGATTCAGAGATGTGGAAAAGCTGAATAATTACATGAATAGTTTTATGGTATTCCAAGAAAAATCATGATGTAGTTGTAATATTACATGAAAAACGTGTTAAAATTATGAGAAATAAGTCTTAAGAAAGTAAAGATTTAATATTTCAAGATTCAAGTCAAATTACTATGAAAAAAGAAACCATGAGAGATTAAAGTCAGAGTAAACAAGAGCCAAATCTTTAAAAATTAAGTCATAACAATATACAGTCGATGATCAGAGTAGATCAGAGGAATTAAAGTCAAAGCACTACAAGAAAAAAGTCTTACAGTTTTTCTCAGTCGCTTTGGTACATTTCTCAGATCAGAATTGAAATTCTCAAAATTCCGTGTTCAATTTTCACATCATTGTGCCACTTGTGCACATCAAAAAAGCAGTTTCTCATTTCTTTGAACAACTTGCAAATGCTTTGGTACATCCATGCAAATGATTATGTACAATTTTCTGCTGTTTTCTACATTATCAATTGCTTATGTCATGTTGATCAAAATGTATTATAATGGGTCTCTGTTGAATAGTCTCACCTCCCTCAACATTTAGGCATTAGTTCATTGCATAAGTCTTAACATGCAAAATGGTTGAACAAGCTGTCATAATATGTCAAGCATATTTCTATACATTTCCATCAGACGTTTCTGAATCTGTCCTGAATTGGTAAATTGCTCCCAGGTGAATCTTGACTTTCTCTAACGGTGGGAAATGTGTGAAGCATTAGATCAACCAATGATCAACCACTTTTCTGAAATAGCTCAAAGGTGCATCTCATGAACCATCAACTGGCAAGTATATATATTGCCGGAGCACAACACAATGTTACAATGTCTGACAATGGAAGGACAAGGAATTGGACGGGGTTAACAGCCAGAGAGAAGAAGAGGAAGAGGAGTGAGGCTGCGTGGCGGAGGAGTTGGGAGGCAAAACAGAGGAAGAGGCAGAATAGGCAGAGGACATATGCGCGTTCCTGATGAGATAAGAGCTACACTTGTAGACCACATTCTCAATCATGGGCTTACAATGGCTGAGGCTGGCCGAAGGGTGCAGCCAAATGTTGGGAGAACAACTGTGTCCTCAATCATTCAGACTTTTCGTTGACAGAACAGGTATGTAATCTAACAATAGGCACTGTAATGTAATACTGTATACTTTCTGTGATGCTTCATACAATATTGCAGTATTCGACTTTCATTTTACAATATACAGTAAGTATACTATATACAGTGACATTGTAGGTGTAGGAAGACTGTACTGTAATTCCTACAGCACTGCATTTCCAGTTTTCCCTAAGGAAATTGTCGTATGTTCACATTTCTACTTTTTTTTTTTTTTTTATTGTGCTCTGCAGTGCTGTCTTTTTCTTTTCTGTATCGCTATGACATGGTCTGTCATCAAATTACAGTCTCTTGCAATCAATCTCCCACATACACTGAGGTGTAACTTCCAATTTACAATGATTGTCATCAAAACTTTAGCCATAGTTTACATCAGAACATCCCTCCAGAGTACACTGTTATACTGACAACATGACTAAGCAATTTGACTGTCTTATCCGTGCACAATGACTCAAGGACCTGTCATTCTGATGGCACTGACATGTTCATTGACACAGATATTTACTTTTGAGAGATGTACTAAGGATTTTGAGCAAGAGACTGGCTTTTGCAGCTTGCACCATGGTGTTTTGCTATTTGTACAAATTGTTTTGAGAAAAGGACTTACTGTTTTGCAAATGTCGAGGATGATTCGAGAAATGTACCAAAGCGACTGAGAAAAACTGTAATATAAAAGAAAACAAAGTTTGTTATGAAGGTTATAGAAAAATAAGTACAAGACTGCAGTCAGAATCAAATTTTCATTTAAAGAAAGTCTTTAAAAGTATGACGAGTTTAATGTCAAAATACGATGAGAAAAAAGTCACAGTTACACAAGAAGGCTACATAGTAAAACAATAAAAATAAGTTATGATATTACAAGACAAAAGTCATAATGTAGAAAATTAAATGATCATTTCACAAAAAATGTAAAGTTGAAATATGTAATATGTAACATAATTTCATCATGGTGTGAAGTTGTTGTCTCATTAGAGAAAGTCGTTAATAAAAGTCATAGCATCATAGGATTGAAGCCAAAAGTCTCTGATATTAAAGTCCAAAATGTGTTGGAACAGCATTAATAAAGCTGTAATTTCACATAAAAAAGCCAATATGTTAGTCTGTGCTTGGTATTTATTATAGGTCCTAAAGATCTTTTGACACAATGGTCTTCAAACATTTACAAAAATGTTGAAAAGTTCAAAATGAACTTAAACTCTTGACACTGTACTTCTACATTAACTTAACCCAAAGCTGAAAAACTATCAAGCTTTGAGGAAACAGAAGAAACAAAAATACAAACTCTCTACATAAAGATGACCATGCAGAGAGTAAAGAGAGCATCTCAGACCTGCTCTACTCCACTTCTCAAAGTTTGAATGTTAATACTCCACCAGGCAGGATTATGATGGAAAAACACAAATGCAACTGCATAATCCTGCAGGACTACACGGCAGAGTGTGTGTGAGAGAGAGGGAGAGCTTAGAGTCTGTGTGTGACTTCTAAAATAAAAGCCTTGAACACTGTCAGACCTCGTCCCTCCTCTTCCTCCATCTGTTTCTGTCTCCTCTCACATTTCCTGTCCTGGCTCTGTCCATTAATTATAGATAGATAGATAGATAGATAGATAGATAGATAGATAGATAGATAGATAGATAGATAGATAGATAGATAGATAGATAGATAGATAGATGGATGGATGGATGGATGGATGGATGGATGGATGGACGGACGGACGGATGGAAAGACAGACAGATAGACAGATAGACAGACAGAGAGACAGATAGATAGATAGATAGATAGATAGATAGATAGATAGATAGATAGATAGATAGATAGATAGACTTTATTGATCCCAAACTGGGAAATTCTCATGTAACAGCAGCAAAAAACACAAAATAAAATTAAGTATAACAAGAACATTATTATTATTATTATTATTATTATTATTATTATTCTCTCTCCTCTTCCATTCACTCTCTCCTCTTTCTATCCGGGTGGTCTTGTCATCTCACATCAGTGTCAGCTGGTTCTGACGTTGCTGTTGCAGCTTGCAGTTGCCTTGGCAACATACCCGTCGTTTGGACGGGAAGAGAGCCAACAGGCGACCAGCGTAGATGTGACCTGCATGCCCTCCTGATCACACAGCGCAGGTTAGGGTTCAGTCTGGTCAGCGTATGTACGTCATATATTTAAGTATTTTCATTTGATTAAAGGTTACCAAAAGACTGACACAAAAGACTGACATTAAAGAAGCAATCATGCAAGGTTAGGTACTTCAAACGGTGCATATGTTGCATAAAGTCTTACAAAATGCAAAACTATTGCGATAGTCCACTGGGACTGAAAAAAGGAGGTCTTGATAAGATAGATATCATCCTCCTGTTGCACTATAAAAAGGTCAAAAACTTTTCAATGAGCACTGATATTTTTTGCATCTGGAGCCAGAAACACACCTTTACTCACAGGTACACTCAGGTGAGTTAAAGGTTTTTAATTGCTGCCGGTGAGCTGCACATAAATTGTTTTATTGATCATTTCTCGAACTACAGGACTAGAAGATTTACAGGTAAATTCCACAGGATACGGAATGGCTGTGCTCCACTCTGGAACCGCAGCCTGAAAAAATTAAAATCACATACGCAAGCATTACAATCAATGTGCGTGCTTCCACACAATCTGTCTGCCATCCAGCTCCACTGCAGGTTCAATCCCGTGGTCGGATCAGACATGCAAGGCGTCTAGTTTCACCGGACGCCAATGCAAAATGCATCAATTCAGTGCAGTGCAGCATAAGCAGCAGCGGAAGTTGTATGTGGCTACAGTAAAATACCTGGTTAATTTTCAAAATAAAGTCAATAAGTTGAACTGTTCTTCATGTGATAATGAGAGGGGGATGTGGGTGTTTATATACACCGCCAGTCTCATTCAATGTCTCATAGTGAGACATACAACATCTTGTGAGATCTTGTCCAGTCTTGCGAGAAATATCTGCAATGTCACAAGCACTTCTGCTCCCCTTGCCGCAGTGGATCGGATCCGGTGGGCACTGTATGCTTGTGTTTTTGTTCCGCCTGCTGTTCTGGAGCAGAGTGTAGCAGATCTGCAAGCAGTGGATTCCTAGCATTAGACTTAAAGACTTAAGTCTTGAGGCTGCAGTGAGCCCCCACTCATCAGCCTCAAAGGAAAATAGATCTGAGTGTCATCAGCATAGCAATGAAGTGACACATTATGTTTGCAGAAAATAGAGCCAAGGGGTAACATATACACTCACCGGCCACTTTATTAGGTACACCATGCTAGTAACGGGTTGGACCCCCTTTTGCCTTCAGAACTGCCTCAATTCTTTGTGGCATAGATTCAACAAGGTGCTGGAAGCATTCCTCAGAGAGCTTGGTCCATATTGACATGATGGCATCACACAGTTGCCGCAGATTTGTCGGCTGCACATCCATGATGCGAATCTCCCGTTCCACCACATCCCAAAGATGCTCTATTGGATTGAGATCTGGTGACTGTGGAGGCCATTTGAGTACAGTGAACTCATTGTCATGTTCAAGAAACCAGTCTGAGATGATACCAGCTTTATGACATGGCGCATTATCCTGCTGAAAGTAGCCATCAGAAGTTGGGTACATTGTGGTCATAAAGGGATGGACATGGTCAGCAACAATACTCAGGTAGGCTGTGGCGTTGCAACGATGCTCAATTGGTACCAAGGGGCCCAAAGAGTGCCAAGAAAATATTCCCCACACCATGACACCACCACCACCAGCCTGAACCGTTGATACAAGGCAGGATGGATCCATGCTTTCATGTTGTTGACGCCAAATTCTGACCCTACCATCCGAATGTCGCAGCAGAAATCGAGACTCATCAGACCAGGCAACGTTTTTCCAATCTTCTATTGTCCAATTTCGATGAGCTTGTGCAAATTGTAGCCTCAGTTTCCTGTTCTTAGCTGAAAGGAGTGGCACCCGGCATGGTCTTCTGCTGCTGTAGCCCATCTGCCTCAAAGTTCGACGTACTGTGCGTTCAGAGATGCTCTTCTGCCTACCTTGGTTGTAACGGGTGGTTATTTGAGTCACTGTTGCCTTTCTATCAGCTCGAACCAGTCTGGCCATTCTCCTCTGATCTCTGGCATCAACAAGGCATTTCCGCCCACAGAACTGCCGCTCACTGGATATTTTTTCTTTTTCGGACCATTCTCTGTAAACCCTAGAGATGGTTGTGCGTGAAAATCCCAGTAGATCAGCAGTTTCTGAAATACTCAGACCAGCCCTTCTGGCACCAACAACCATGCCACGTTCAAAGTCACTCAAATCACCTTTCTTCCCCATACTGATGCTCGGTTTGAACTGCAGGAGATTGTCTTGACCATGTCTACATGCCTAAATGCACTAAGTTGCCGCCATGTGATTGGCTGATTAGAAATTAAGTGTTAACGAGCAGTTGGACAGGTGTACCTAATAAAGTGGCCGGTGAGTGTATATATAGGGTAGACTGCAAGATAACGTAATATATTTGCCGGCAGGAAAACCAAAATCAAACGGAGGTACTACAGTGAACATAGAGAGACAGAAAAGGGGGTGCTGGACAGAATAAAGGTGAACAGATGGGAAATCAGATGAAGACAGAAAAAGGAGGCAGCGTTCAAAGACTGACAGGAGGATAAATAAAGCTGCAAGTCAACAGGAGAGATGAGAGCAGTGGAAAAACAAGCTAAATGGGGAGAAGAGGAAACTGTGATGGAGGAGCAGATGGAGGGAAAAGGTGGGGAGGCAGTGACACAGGAAAGGCGGAGACAGAGACCCAAGCAGGTAGTTGTAAAAGGTCAGTGCGTCTGTGATAAGGCGTGCTTGGACAGCATGCTCACAGTGAGCGGCCAGGAGCTTGTCAACACGATAGCTGTGCACTTCACTTGCTACACTGCACTTAGCAGAGCACACGAGCATCGCAGCACAAGAAGGCTTTTTAAACATCACAGAGTAACACAACCACGAAGAGATAAGCTCAAACCACCAGAGTAAAATGTCACCATGCTGCAAAAATAGAGCAGTGCTGGGTCGTAGGATTAACTCTGCTGAGGGTCTGAACTCTGACTAACTCATCTGGCCTTCTCTGAACAGATGTTAAAAATATGAGGAGGACAGTGTAGTTCATGAAAGCATCCGACGCATGACTAGGGTTCCCAACCGTACCACAAAAAACGGGATCGTACCGTATTTGAAAACAAAAAGACATGTCTCGTAATGAACTAAAACGGGACGCTCCTTTTCCTGTATTTTCTGACAGCGTCTCTCTACCTAACACAGTCACAGGCTCACATCTGCAGCTTGGCAGCTGAGCTATGGGACAAGTTACAAAACACAACACACTACCAGCTATGGGTTGTTAACAAGAGCGCATTATGCATAGCAACTGTAACTGCTTCTCATTCTCATGTTCTCTCTGGTTCCATAGGCAGTTTTAGGATTTGCCAACGGGGGGGGGGGGTATGTGTATGTGTATGTGTTTTCAAGGAGAAAAAGCTATTTTTTAAGGAGATTGGTTTTTGTCTCTAAAACACTCAGCGGATCTGCTCGGTATCTTATGTTTGAACAATTGGACTGAAGAGTTGGAAAATCAGGAAAAGATCATACCTGCATTTATGAATCCAGACTGATGGATCTCCTGTTTGTTTTTCTATGATTTCTGGACTTTTCCTCTCAGCATGAACTTAACACTTATGAGTTACTGACATGCAGCACCCATTAGGTTCATCTTTAAGTGATCCCAAACATCCATCACAAAACATTCATGCAGGTGAGAGAGTACGATATCGTCAAAACTCTGACCCTCAAAGCTCATCTCCAAACTACCTCAGGGCTAAAACAATGTGCCATAATGAGAAAATGCATGAATAACAACATGCAACAGTACGACCAACATCTATCTGCAGGAAAACAATATTTAACAAATACTATGTGTAACAATAAAAATATAAGGTAGACCGGGGCTTGTTGTCACACTTTTAACACTTTTATATATTTCTCGGAATCAATACATTATATATAAACAAAATGTGTACCAGATGAAAGACCAAAGTATCAGGTAGATATTTGGTATACATGTCATTTTCATATCATGTGTCAGTGCAGAGTTATAAGGAATCAAATAGAGAGTGTGAACATGTGACATGTTGCCCCACCATGGGGTAAGTTGTCTCACTACATGGGGTAAGATGTCACTGTGGATTTTGCAGCTAATAAAACAAGGACAAAGTTATTGTTGTTCTCATTTTTTTTACATGAATGTGAACATCAAAGTCAGGCACAGAAAATGTTTATCATTGAGCTAGAAAAAGTCATTGAACATAGGCATGGAACAAACGTTAACATAAAATATTATGCAACATGCTCTGGAGTTTGGAGAGCTGTCTGACTCTGTATTTCGGCTGGAGTGAATGTCTAGCAGTAACAAGCAATGTTATGGTAGTTGACATTAAAGTCCTTTATTGTACTCCAGATTGTATTATTAGCTAGGGTTACTTGCCTGACTGCCCTCCGCATCACATCAGGCACTGCACTGCCACGTTCTGTTTTTCTTTTGTAATTCCTGACCATGTCTTCTCGCTTTCTCCTCTCTTTTAGACCACTCTTTTCTCTGTAAAAAATAAAATTGAAATTTAATTATGACAACTGCTGATAAACTGACTCTCTGTGTTAATTTGAATCCCTTTTAAACATGTGACAACTAACCCCAAAACGACTGAGACATGTTGCCCCAAACTACCATGTTTGCTATTTCTAGCTCTAGCTTAAATTTATCTTAAAACAGAACAATGACAGAGGTAATGATAATGAATAATAATGCATCAGATTTTATAGTGCTTTTTGTCAGTGACCTCAGAGCGCTTTACATTGGGTACATCATTCATTCACTCACACAGTCAAACCCTGGTGGTGGTAAACTACCTTAGTTTACTGCCCTGGGGCAGACTGACAGAAACATGGCTGCCAGTTTGCGCCTACAGCCTCTACGACCACCACCAGATAACGCTCACAATCATACACCAGTGGAGGACACACACACTGGGAGCAAGGTCTTGTCTTGCCCAAGGACAAAACAGACAGACCAGGGATAGGGAGGGATTCAAACCGCCAACCCTCCAGTTATTGGCCAACTGCTCTACCTCCTGAGCTACTGCCACCCATATGCATGACAGGATGCCTCAATCTCTCCTCTAACAAGTCCACATGTGTCACTGCTAGTATTTTTATCTGGAAGAAGCTTATTTTAAAATATATTTTAAAACATATAAGTTTTTTTTTTTTTTTTAACTTTTGGTTGTGCAAAATGTTTAATTGGTGCTCATCAGCTTACAATGTGCTCTTCTCTTCTCAGACAGGACACGACTCCTGACCATGTAAAGGAAGAAAACTAGTGTTCCACTTTTTAGTTGTGCCCTCTGGTGGCAAAGATAATTGCAATGTGACAACTCCCCCATGTGACAACAAGCCCCGGTCTCCCCTACAACATAATATGCAGCAAAAACAATGTGTAACAAAACAAAACAGTACAATACAATACAGAAAATACAATATGCAACTCAACAAAGTGTAACATAGCAAACCAAAACTATATTGTGACTGAGAGCCGTTAAACGCACAGTCATTCCCAGACTGGCACAGGTCTCTCTCGTGGCCTGGGAGTGCCGGTGCAGGGAGTGTGCACGCAGGGCCAAGCTCTATCAAACTGTTTAACCCTTTGCCTGCACCTGTGTCCCACAGTCCTGCACTCAAAACAACCGTTTCCCTTTTTACCTGGACTCTTTTTTCCCCTCTGTAGGGGTTTGAAGGTGCACACTCGACAACGACACGCCACTAGTGATGTGTCCTTTAGTGCTGAGGCTTCGGAGCGTGTGCCGAGTAATCCCGGAAATTTTCGACGAAGCCTGTATCGAGGCTTGTGTTGGTGATGTTTGTGATGATGTTCGAAGCCTTGTAAGCCAGCCGTATCACGTGACTGATTCAAAAAACTGTTCGCAGGTTTGGCGGATGATTCAAAATTTAACAGGCAGCCAAACGCAATGGAGTTCCTACACACACACACACACACACACACACACACAGACAACCCGTGGACTGGAGACTTGTTGAAAAGTCGTTCTTAAATTAAAGTAAATAAAATGTTTGTCACAAACCAAGTAAAACAAGCACTTTTTTTTTTGGTAAGATGGCGCATGCTCTGCTGTGACAGCACTGACTGTACACCTTGTCTTCTGTGTTTAGTGGACTTCTTGGCAATGACACAGGCAATGATTGCAGGATCATGAGAAGATGCAGGTGCGGATGGGAGAAGGTGACCACGTTCAGAGGGCTAAGGATTCACCAGGGAAGGAAGAAGTGTGAAGTGGGAGGCCAGCAGCAACATTGCACTGCAAACACAGGTCAGACAAAAGGAACCCAGAGCCAGGTCGACAACCACAGAGCTGAGGGATCCAACGTTATGTAGGGAAGACAGGCGGCAGACACAGGAGGGCCTTTGGTACACTCTGATTTCTTTGAAAGTGGCACTGATGAGAACACCCCGAGAACACCAACACACCCCAGAACACTACTAAACCCTGACACCCAAGAGCCAGGACAGAGGATAGAGAGGAAATAACCTGAGCAGAGGCAGCCTGCCAAATGGCTTAAAGCAAACGAAATGGCTGTCTGGCAGCAGCTGGACAAGGGCCTCAGCATTAACCTAGAACTCTCATTGTGTGGCCAGGTGGAAACAAAGCTGAACAGTATAGGAAAAATACTGTATGAGGAGTGCAGAGACAGGTTCGGCGTAGTGGCGGGAAAGCAGAGCATTGGCTGAGAGCAGAGAGGGAGGAGGGAGAGGGAGATTGAGCAACTGGTGAAGAGGCGGCATCAACTCCGGAAGCAGTGGAAGAAGACAAGTAAAGAGGAGAAGGAGGGCCTTTTAGCGATTTGAATTCAGAATAAATGTTCAAAATTAATAAAATTAAATTATGACTTTTATGCACTCTTTGAAGGGGCACCACCCACCTTTCTGGTAGGAAAAAAAGACGAAACAAAGCTCAATTGAGTAATCAAACGTTGAATCAGTCTTAAACAGATTTAAATCAATCTCTCATCTGAGGCCAGAATTCTCCATTCAGGGACTCTACTTTCTGGAAGGACCACTAAGAGATGACAACTTAAAATTAAATGGACAATTTATTAACAAGCTATATGATAACAAAAATGAAGCATAGTGTTAGTTCTGTCAGGACACGACGTCAAGCGCTGATCTGCAGCCAATGGCTAGTAGCCACCTCAACCAGATGATAATCAGCTGATTCACTCCTATAGTCCTTTGCCTATAGCGCGCCTTATTTAAAAGTGCACTAACCCAGCCTCTTCCTCTGCTCTGACAGCTAACCTGCAACTTCCGTATGCCTGCCAAAACATTCGTGTTATTTCTTACCTCGTTGCTCCTTGCTCCTTGTACCTCAGCGTATGACGAGGACGAGCCGCAGTTCAACTACATCTTGGAGTCACCTCAAGAGTCCGATGCAGAGGATGTGAGCGGCCCGGAGGAAGCTTCCTCTCTTTGCAGAAGCTCCAGGTTGGTACGAAAGAAGACGCCTGATCCGTCGCTCAATGAATGGCCGATCCCAAAGTTGCTACAGTTCCTGTTTACGGACAACATTCCTGCCCCGATCGGCGCCTCCCACCAGGAATTGTTCGGGCTTTTCCTGAGCTGCTCCGAGCCCCAGCGTCCACCTGCAAGCACTCCTCCACCTTCCGCTCCTCGAAAAGCTGCAGCAAAACGTAAACATACCACCAGCAATTCCGGTACAGCCTCGGCAGTAGGCGCCGCCGGGACGCAGCAGTTTCGAAACTGATACAGCAGTTTCGAGGAGTTTGCCTACTTTGTCGGTTCTCAGCGGCACTCTTGGAATGGATCAGCTGAAGTTCTGTGGCTACCGGACCGGATGCTGAAGGTTCGGCGGGGAGTTCACCGCCGTGAATGGGTCTCAGGCTTCAGGACC